GAAGGGATTTCAAGTCCTTCAACTAGCTCACCCAAGTCCTACTTTGAATAAGTTAACGATGAGCAAACAGGGGTGCTTGTGAGAAGTAACTCAAGGTGTCCTTGGAGGTGAGGACCTCTCCTAGAGGGTCCTTAGAGGTGAGGAAGCCAGCGGTCTCTTGCCTTGATGTCTGGAAATCCCTTCCAAGTCTCCCATTTTTTTTTTTTCTTAGATGGAGTCTTGCTCTGTCCCCAGGCTGGAGTGCAGTGGCACTATCTCAGCTCACTGCAAACTTTGCCTCATGGGTTCAAGTGATTCTCCTGCCTCAGCCTCATGAGTAGCTGGGATTACAGGAGTGTGCCACCATGCCCAGCTAATTTTTGTATTTTTAGTAGAGATGGGGTTTCACCATGTTGGTCAGGGTGGTCTTGAACTCCTGACCTCGTGATCTGCCCACCTCAGCCTCCCAAAGTACTGGGATTACAGGCATGAGCCACCATGCCCAGCCAGCTCCCATTTTAATAGTCATATTGCTAACCACCGTAATTAATGACTCCTGCATGCCAGGCACTTAATATGTATTATTTCCCTTGACTGCAGGACGGCTCAGTGGACATCCCATGGGGGGGCTCTATCTTTATATTAGAGATAAGGGCATTGATGCTCCAGCCTGGGAAACAAGAGGGAAACTTTGTCTCAAAAAAAAAAAAATATTGGGGGTTCAGTGGCGGCTCTAGAATTTCTACAAAGGAGGGACTTAGGGCAGCCATCTGGTTGAAAAGGGGGCTTGAAGCTGCATTTTAAGGCACGTCCTGTGAAGCCACCCATGGGGGCTGGGGCTCACAGAGGCAGTGAGTTTGTCAGTGGGGATTGCAGTGGGCAGGAGGAAGACTCCCTGGGGCAGCCTTTGGCACTGCCTTTGCCTAAGCCTCAAGCTCTTGTGCTGTGTGACCTTGGGTAAGTGATCGTCCTGACCTGGTGACCTTCTGTGGGGTGGCGTGAACTCCTAGGATCAGTGTTTAGTGTATGCATTGCTGAGCAAGGCTGGGATGGCAGAGATGGGTCCACAGCTTTGTGGAGATGAGTAGGAACTCATCCTCAGAGGGTGTTTGGCCTGGAGTCAGGAGGATAGTGAGGAAGCAGGGAAGGGCGTCTCTGTCCAGGACTGTGGCCTCCTGATGATGGCTGTTAGAAGCCTTTGATAATATTGCTGGGCATGGTGGCTCACCCCTATAATCCCTGTGCTTTGGGAGGCCGAGGTGGGCAGATCACAAGGCCAGGAGTTTGAGAACAGCCTGGCCAGCAAGGCAAAACCCCATCTCTACTAAAAATACGAAAAATTAGCCGGGTGTGGTGGCAGGTGCCTGTAATCCTAGCTACTCCGGAGGCTGAGGCAGAAGAATTGCTTGAACCTGGGAGGCGGAGGTTGCAGTGAGCCGAGACCGGGCCACAGCACTCTAGCCTGGGCAACAGAGTGAGACTCTGTCTCGAAAAAAAAAAGAAAAAAAAGAAGCCTTTAATAATATCACTAATACTCCTTATACATAAATAGTAGCAAAGAAAAATTACTAATAGTAAAGTAACTGATATTTACTGACTGCGTACTATACACCAGACGTGGCTCTAAGCATTATACACATAGACATTCTATACTTCATCTATCTGTTACAACTCCTTATGAAATAGGTCCTGTTATCCTCAATTTGCAAAAGGCCTAACCTGAGGCTTCAAGACCTGAAGGACCTTTCAGCTCATCAGTGATGCAATCAGGATTTGGATCTAGGGCGTCTGTGTCAGAGACCAACCTCTCGAACCCTACTCCTGCTTTTGAGGGATGCGGGGTTTGTTAGCCTCCTTGCCCACTTCAACTAGCTCACCCAAGTCTTACTTTGAATCAGTTAACAATGAGCAATCGGTCCTTCTTTCAGAATCTGGTCTTCTTCTTGTGTGGCAGTGTCTGTCGTGTATCTGTGTGACGTGTGTTAACAGCGCTGTGGGAAGAGGGTGGGTCTACTGGAGCTCTTTAAAGGGTAGGGTAGGGGCTATGTCTGTCTCGTTCAATGCTCTCTCCCAGGGCTTGCACATAGTAGTTGCTCAATAAATACCTGTGGAATAAATGTGCACGTGTGTACTCAACTTCAGACCCTGGAGCCTGAGGATGAGCCTGTGGGATAAATGTGCACGTGTGTACTCAGCTTCAGACCCTGGAGCCTGAGGATGAGCCTGTGGGGGTCAGGACCAGCTCCAGAGCATGGTCCAGAGGCCCTGCTTCTCTCTTGAGCTCCCACATCTCATCTGCTAGGTCCCTGCTCCTCTGAGTGAGGCCCTGCCTGGCTGGAGAGTTTAGGAGAAAACCAGCCAAGAGCATCCTTGTCTGTAAGAGGGACCAAGGAAACCTGCCTCGACCGGCTGCGGGGAAGCTAAGTGAGGTGGCAGGACAGACATGGATGTGCCATGGCATTTGTCACCGGGGCGAGGACAATGTTAGCCTGGGCTCTAAGGGTTAAGGGATGAGATCAGAGCCTTTATTACAGCAGGCCAGACTGCTGACTGCCAGCGCCCAGGACCAATCCCCAGGGGTTGGGGATCTGGCTTGTGAGAGGAACCGGGAGGGGAGAGAACCACTGGAGGCAGCAGGGAAAGAGAAATGGGGAGAAGGATTCCTGAACGCCAGGCTCTTCTGAACTTACCACTGGCCAGAGAGTACCGAAGGGGAGGGAGAGAATGAGGGGATGCCGGGAAGAGATTTAGGAGGGAGGAGCGGAGCCATCTTGTGATTCTGGGCCTGGAAGCTGGTAGCGTGCTGGTTAGGGAGAGGGGACAATATTGGGAAGTGGGAGGTCTGCAGAGGGGCTGTGGGGTTGGGCACCTGACTGAGGCCACACATATGCAATGAGGAGGGCACTCCTTCTGGCCAGGCCTCCTCTCTGGTCCCTTCTGCTAGGGCCTGAACCCAGAAGCCAGCCATGCGAGGCAGCTCTCCTTGGGGTTAACTTTTATCTGATGGTAGCTTTTGACCCATTAAGGTGCACGAAACTTCCACCCCTGATGCCTGGCTTTGGGAATGAGGGAGGAAACAAATAGAATTGATCACGTTTCTTTAGGCTCGACAGTTGCCATTGGGAGGGCCAACTAGCGTTGTGGAGGGCAGCAGCCATCAGTTAAATGCTACATAAAACGCACTGCTTAGCCGGAAGAGGAGCATCAGCCCTGGACTCACTGCCAAATTCGCTCCCCCATGATGGATCTTAAGCAGTTGCCGGACTTTGGCCAGTCCATGCCAGAGCCTGGGCATGAGCAGCTGGACCCTAGACCTTATTCTGCCAGTGTGGCATCAGAGGTGCTGGGTCCCTCATCCTCTGATCTGCGTGCCCCCTGCTCCTGGCTCCTTGTATTCCCCTCCTCATTTCCTTTCTTCTTTCTCCCTCCCTCCTCCATCCCTGTAGGCATCACCATGGCACCACAGCAGAGCAGAAACCCAGCGCAATTCACCCACCTCTCCCCGCCTGCTGGGAGCCCAAGCTTCTGCCTCTCAGAGCTGGCTGCACCCCCTGCTCTCCCACCCCATCTTCCTGCTCATGGAGGCGGCAGTGCAGCGTTGTGCTAAGGATGCGGAGAAGGGGTCCAAGCCCCCTTCTCTGACCATAAGCATATCCCTGGCCCTTTCTCAGCCTCAGTGCCTCCATCTGTACCATGGAAAGGCTCCTTTCTAGGACTGCCGTGACCTTTGTTTAGCCCTTTCTTGACACTTCGGACTCCCATTACACTTCAGGATCCAGGTCTCAGAACTCCAACCGCCAGCTGTCAGCTGTGAGCCAAGACTCACATCTTCTGCAGCCCATTTCCCTACCTCCTCCCCTTTGATATCTCAGCAGCGATAGTGACTGCAGCTTGCCTGGCGGCTGAGGTCAGAGGGCAGAGAACTCTCATCTGACAGACAGCCCGGTGAACAGCTGAATACCCCTGGCAAGGAGACTGCCTGGCTGTGGGAGACTACCCGACTCCTTCCAGCCAGTTGGGCAGGGGTCTTAACATCAATCTGGGTGGAGCTGCAGGTGTGTTTTGTGCAAAGAGGTGAACCCCTCTTCATTGGCTCTGATAACCTCTAAGCTGCAGATGGTGGAATGAGCTATGAAAGCTGATGACCCACTCCCCAGCTGGCCTGCCCAGGAGCTGACAGCTCTACAAGAACCAGAGTTCCTGGCCCCTAGTCCTTCCCCACATTGTGCAGCGTGGGGGTACTGGGTGAGTACCTGGCATGGGTGCCCACTGATATCCATGCATTGCCTGGATGTAGGACTGAGACCCGCCCTGGGGGAGCCCAACATACTAGAAACATAAAGAGGGTCCTCTGGGCCCCTGCACACTTCAGGGCCACGTTCCCTGGCCAGGGTGGCCATCCAATGCCCATTTGTCCACAGAGAGCCCTGGGGCTCTTTGCCTGGTCTCCTGCTGGCTTCTGGCCCGACACCCACCTTGACTTCCAGCTTCTCTGTCTGGCCAGCAGCCTGATTCAGTCCATCTCGGGGGAGCTAAGGCGGATGGGGATGGTGGGTTTCAGGGTGCCCTGAGAAAGGAGAGGAGGAGGTTTTGGGACTGGGACCCCCATCAAGAGCGGGGTCAACTTCCCACAGGCTGCTGGTGGCAAGGGCTGCTTCCTGGCCCCTTGCCCTTCCACTCTGTCCCTAGGGTGCTGGGGGCTCTGCTTGCTACCAGGCAGTTTCATCCCTTCTGGGCCTCAGGTCCAGTTTCCTGAGGGGGTCTCCATCTCCTCTGCCAGCTGAAGCCCAGAAAAACATTAGATATATCCACTCAAAGCCAGGAGGCTGGGTGTTCTGAGCAGCCAATGTGCAATGCTACAGAGCCCCCTTGCCCTCTAGACCCCTCCCTGGCCCCCTCCTATCTCTGGGGGTCCATCCCTATTTCCATCTCATCCTGGTCCCTGCCCTCCCCCACTCCCCAGGACCCTCCTACCCTCCAGCTCAGTGCAGCCCCTCCCAAACTCTCCCAAATGTACTCACCATGGGGCTGAAGAGGGGTCTGTAGGGTCCTCAGCCCCACTGCCTCCCTGGGGGCCGGCGGCGTCTCCAGGGACCCAAACACCTGGCTCCCGGGGGGAGCTGCGCCCTGTGCTGGCAGCGGGAGAGGCACAGCCAGTGATTGGCATGTCCCACCCCCTGGCACGCCAGCCTTAGGGGGGAGGGAGAAAGGGAAAGAGAGGGAGGGAGGAAAGGGAGAAAAGGAAGGGAGGGGAGCTGGAGGGAAGCCTCAGGCAGCGTCTGGGGTTGGACTAGGTTCTGGAGTGTGCTCCCCTCCTCCACCAGGGCACCCAGTTTGAGCCCCAAGACGGAGGAGGAAGGACATGAGGAAGGCGAGCCCAGGAAGGCTAAAAGTCCAGGACGGGAGAGAAGGCGGATACAGGGAGGCAAACACCCACACCCACTGCACAGACCCGGCGGCACACACACACCCTCACAAAGGCACACTGTTTCCTCGGGCTTCTTCCCCCACCCAACCTTAGAGCCCCCAACCCATGTGCACCATGCCCCAACACACATGCCCCTATATTCACATGCCTGCTTCCCTTGCACACACACCCTCCCCCCTGCACACGCCCACGCGCCCACCCACCCAGCTACACACCCTGCTCTTCCTCCCTGCTGCGAGAGAGCTAGATTCCTTCTGTTTGGAAATGACACATTGGGTCTCACGTGAGAGGCTCCAACTTGGAACAGACCCAGAGGGCTGGCGCACCCGCCCGGGGGCTGAGCGAACGTGCCCGTGTGCTGGACTCTGTGATCCAGCACTGGTCTCCGCACAGCCCCTTGTGAGGGTATATGGGTGTCTGCTTCTCAGGGATGAGGAGGGGGCCAGGTACCTGCCCCATGTGCAGCTGAGTGCCCTGCATGTGTATGTCCCTGTGTACTCGTGTCACCATGCAGCCTGTGTAAACGCAAGTGTGACCTTATCGTTCTGGAGCAGGACGCATGTGCACACATGTGTCTGTATTTGATGAGTGGCTGAGTGTTATCCAACTGTGGAACTTGCTAATTCTGACAAGGGAGGCAGCCTCTACCTGCCTGCTCCACCCCAAGCTTCCACTTGGAAGACAGACAGACAGGCAGACAGACAGCTCTCCTCCCAGCTTGTCAAACTCTGTCTCCCCTGACTCCCACTCAGGTCTCACAGGTGTGTACCTGGGAGGAGATGAGCCCTCCTCCCCATCTCCCTCAGCCCTACTGCTAGGCCAGCATCTCTCCCTGCCAGGCTGGTTTGAACTTCTGTGCTGAGCTTCCTCAGAGACAGAACCTCTGGGTACGGGTGGGGAGGGGGGAGGGGAGGCGGGGCCGTTTGCCATAGAGACCTGGGTCCTGAACCGCCTCCGTCTGTCCCTAGAGACCTCCCCAGGAGCAGACTGGGGAGGAGAGTTGGAGGCTTCAGGGACTGCCTGCTGGGGCTGCTGTATTCTTTACCCCACTGGGCTGTGCTGATGTCCTGGGGTAAGAATCGGGAAGGAATGGGACCATCAATATCCCCATTTTGTAGTTGAGAAAACTGAAGAGCAGAGGTGTGATTAACGTGGTGGCAGGTGTTTGGACTGGGTCCCTTGGCTCTAAGCCCAGGGCTCTGGAGTCTGGGGCAGGGGTTTCCCCTACCCATTTTTCCACCAAGGACCCCTGCCAACCGTGATGCCTGAGGGCAACCTGGGGCTTTCTCACGCAGAAGCCCAATTGGCCAATGGAGCCAAGTGGAGCTGAAACGAGTTCCTGGGGTTTGCCACTGGAGTTCCTGGGGTTTGGTCAGCAGCTACTGGTGGGCACACGTGGCAGGTACATGTGGGGGCATCTGTGCTTCTCAAAGGCAGTTGGGGCTCCAGCAGGCACCCAGTCCTCCTTCCTGCTGAAGCCAAGCAGAGGCTGCAGCTTGGAGAGAAATCTAAGTGAGCATCCCCCTTCCCTCCCAGGGTCACCCAGACCGTCAGGGTTGGGTCAGAACTTGACCAGTCCCTGCCCTTGGGCGCGGACTCCGGATGCCCCCTGCTGGGCTGCCCTGGGTTTGCCGCCGCGCTTACGCGGCGCGGTGGGGCTGCGTGTACTTGTGCGCGTACACGTGGCTGAGTGTGGGGGTGTTAGGCCTCCACGCTCAACATCCATTTCCGAGTCTGAATCAGGCTCCCTCTTTGCCACCTCCCCCCAATCTCCTTGGTCTCCCTTTTCTCTTCTCCCACCGCCTCTGCACACGTCCCTTTAGAAATAAAAACACTTATTTTGTGGGCGGGTGGGGAGGGTGTCCAGCTTTCCCCTGCCTCCTCCTGAGTGCCCCCCTCTGTCCCACGCGGATTCCTTCTAAAGTCTGTGCAGTCGCGGAGGCAGGGAGATGGCGCCCCCCTCCACCTACTGTATCACTCTTCTGACTTCCCCGCCCGGACTTGGCTAGGTCCCCTTTATCAGTGGGGAAACTGAGGCAGGAGGAGAGAGGAGAGGTACGGCCGGGAGAAGCGCTCCCGCCCGGCTCGCTCACCACCCCCGCACCCGCGCCCGATTTAGCCGCAGGGAGGCTGGGAACATTGTCTTTATTTTAAGCCGCCGAGTGCGGCACGAACGCGGCTGCTCGCGACAAAGGGCTTCTTGAAGAGGCTGCAGGCGGCGCACGTGGGGCTTTGGCCCCGCCCCCGCGCGACCCCCTCCAGTCCTCTCCTCATCTCCGGCTGGGTCGGGTGGGGGCTGACTCTCGGGTCTCGGCTCCTGCTGGTTGCTGTTTTTGGTTGCTTGGCCGAGAATTCACTCCTTAGGCCACCGAGGGAACGTGGAGTCGCCCTTGCACGGCTTGGTCCCCTTCTCGGCCCCTTACTGTGGAGGAGGAGAGTGCCCCGCGTGCGAATTCAGCTTGGCATTTTCCTAGCTGAAGCGGCCTGAGAAAGTTAGGCCCCCTCTGTAGGTCTCAGTTTCTTCATCTATGACAAGAAAATAGAAATACCTCCCCGATCAGGTTGTTTGACGGGTTAGTTGAGCTTCTGCAGGTAAAACGTGGCACATGAATCTGCAAAAAGTGAAAGCCATCATTGCCCTTTTTTTTTTTTTTTTTCTTTAAATTCAGGGTTTCGGTCTGTCGCTCAAGCTGGAGTGCAGTGGCGCGATCACAGCGCACTACAATTGCCTCCCGGTCTCAAGCGATCCTCCGTTCACTGCAGCGCTTTCCTCCACCCACCCCTACCCGCGCGCAGCCTCCCCTCCACCTCCAAGTAGCTGGAACTACAGGCGCGCGCCACCCCACCCGGCTTAAATTTTTTTTTTAATTCATGGGGTTTCACCCTGTTGGCCCGGCTGGTCTCAAACTCCGGAGCTTAAGTGATCCGCATGCCTCCGCCCCTCTTGGTCTCCCAAAATGCTGGGATTACTGAGCCAACGCGCTGGGCTGCAGGTTTCGAGCACCTACTACGTGTCAGGAACTGCTAAGTGCTCTATATTCTTTTTTTGAGACAGGCTCTCACTCTGTCGTCCAGATCGGAGTTCAGTGGCATGATCTCGGCTCACCGGTAACCTCTGCCTCCCGGGCTCAAGCGATTCTCCTGCCTCAGCCTCTTCAGTACTGGGATTACAGGCGCCCACCACTACCGGCCAGCTAATTTTTGTATTTTTAGTAGAGACGGGGTTTCTATGTTGACCAGGCTGGTCTCTAGCTCCCGATCTCAAATGATCCATCCACCTTGGCCTCCCAAGGTGCTGGGATTACAGGCCTGAGCCACCACAACTGGCCTCTATATTCTTTAACTTCTCACAACTCTACGAGGGAGGTTCCATTATTCCCATTTTACAGATGAGTAGATTTACAAGCGGCGTGGGTCCCTGTGGTTTCGTGGAGGCTGCGATCAGTGAGCCTGGAACCATCCTAAGGCTGAGCACGGGCTGCAGTTCTGGGGATGGCAGGACTGTGGGACAGCGTTATTCATTTATTTTTGAGACCAAGTCTTGCTCTGTCACCCAGGCTGGAGTACAGTGTTGCGATCTCGGCTCACTGTAACTCCCGCCTCCGGGGTTCAAGAGATTCTCCTGCCTCAGCCTCTCGAGTAGCTGGGACTACAGGCGAGAGCCACCACACTTAGCTAATTTTGGTATTTTTAGTAGGGACAGGGTTTCTCCATGTTGGCCGGGATGATCTCGATCTCTTGACCTTGTGATCCGCTCGCCTCGGCCTCTCAGAGTGCTGGGATTACAGGCAGGAACCACCGCGCCCGGCCGGGACAGCATTCTTAAGAGTCCCAGGGTCGGGCAAGGCCGCAAGTGGGTGGAGGAAGGAAGTGAACGGGCTTCGGGAGTGCGCTGCAGACCTGGAGTGAAAGTCTTCACCCTCGGTTTTAATCCGTGTCAGAAACTCAAACCCAGCTAAATGTGTCACTTTTACGACGCTGCTTCCTCTGGCCTGGGGCAACCTGCATTCTGAGCCCGGGTGGGACGCAGAGGGTCGGCCTGAGGGCTCCGCTCCTCGCCTCTTCACCGTCAATGGCCGTAGGTCCTCAACTTCGTCTTTCCCCGCCATCCCCTCCCCCCAGGACTCCAGGAGAGACTAATTCCCAGATTTAAAATAAGAAACTCAAATCCAGGGCGGGGCTGCGGAAAGTGCTGGCCCAGCAAGGGGTCCCCAGAGTCCCGGCCGTCCGAGGCAAGAGCGGACGCGGCCACAACAAAGGCATCTTATTGGGACAGGAAATCGGGATTTTCCGAGTCCTGTTTCCAAGTTGAGGCCTTGTAGACGCTTCGCCTTTCCTCCCCTACCACGTGCTGGGCGCCGGAGGGCAGGGGGAGTGCGGGGAAGCGGCTCCACTTTCCCACCCCAAGTCTTGAGGGCAGTTCCCGGAGAAAAGATGGGTTTGGGGCGGTCGCGAGCGCGGCGCCTCGCGTGTTTTCCCGCGGCGCCCGGGTCCTTACAGCCCGGCAGGAGACTCCTCTGAGTTGACTCTGCGTCAGGGGTCGGGCCAGAGGGAACTGAGGGATCGCCACACGGCGTTTCGGACCCCCGGCTGGACCAGGCCGTGGAGGGGAGCTGCGTTCCCATAGGGCATCCCTAACTGTCCTCGGTCCCCGCCTATGAGGATACGACCTGGAAGTCCAGGCCACTGGCTGCCACCTTGGAGTTGGACGCGCCGCGGGGACTTGTGGCCCCGACCGCGGAAGCAGGCGCCTTCTCCCGCACTATGGAAGCTCGCGCCCCTCGCTGCCCGAAACACCTGACTTTTGGCATCCACCCTGCTTCGCTAGGTCGTCTGCGGACACTGGGCTCCCAGTATTCCGCCACAGGGTGGACGCGCCCTGGCCCAGGCGGGTGTAGGTCCCCCATGAAACTGCTGGAGCCCCGCGGAACTTCGGACGGGATATTTGGGGTCAGAGCAGGTCCAGTCTCAAGGCAACCCCCAACTGTGCACAGTGGAATCCACTCGCCCAGGGTCGTGGCACCAGGATCCCCGGCTACCAGCCCGGCGAAGTTCCACC